GGGAAACCCGCGGGGATTACAATCAAGATGGAAAAAAAAAAATGTGCAAAATGATGTAAAAATAAACTTTGTAATAAAAAACTAAAAAAAAAAAAAACTAAAAAAAAAAAAATTAGGTCCATCGTTTATTCTCCTCTAAGTGAACCATTACCACTCACTAATAGGGTAAAACCTAATCTAGGCTTTTTAAAAACAAAACAAAACAAAACAAAACAAACAAATGCATCAGAGAAAACACAATGAAACCTTGTAGCTAGTAAAGACTCCATAGAGCATAGTACAGAAAATGAATTAACAAAAAATAATCTGATCTCTTAACAACCACCACCACTTTTGGAGCAGATTCTAAGATGACACCCAATTTTTCGATAACAAACTGGTTTACAAGTCAGGAGTTAGTAGAAACACCAGCTTAATTAAGAAAGCCACTTTCTCTTATATCCTACCATAAACCAAATATTAAGGTTTATAAATTTGGTACATAAAAATATACTACGATCTGACATTAACCACTTAAACTAAAATCTTTAAACCACTCATCATAGTTAGTACTCAAATGTCAGCTCCTTTTCCCTCCATCATACTTCCCCCACCTCCTTTTCTTGATTGAGCCTTCATTTACAGAAAAGATGTAATGTATGTAATGTAGTAATATAACCTGTTCTCAAATGACATCTATTCTATTCGTACCTCTAATTTTAAGTTATCAGTTTCTAGGTCTTTTCAGATTTAGTATTTTTAGTTGCCCGAAAAAAGGCAACCAAAAAACGAAACTGTACTTCTGGGTAACATCCATAATACAACTTGCACCGCCCTATCTGTAGGGGTACGCTCCAAAGCAAGGCTAACCTAGTCAAGCTAGGTCATTAAGCATCACCTGGTAATACTCTGCTTCAAGCTGAGCTAAGTCACTGATTAAATGTCAATCTGACAACAGAATGGAAATTTAAATTCAAGAGTTTTCTCTATCTGAAAAAAATCTTTTCACTATCATTAGAGACATACCCCACCACCACTAAAATGCATGTGTATGAATAATTCACCACTTGGGTTGGGACACAGACTTCTTAGGTAAAAATCACAACCTTCCTTCTGATTCAATGAATATCCCTGAAAACAGTTACCTTCTTTGAACAAACATGAGCCTCCAGTCATTTCTACCCTTCTAGGCACCCTGAGCACAAGGCAGTCTGAAACCTCTGGAGAGAACCATGCACTGCACACACAGGTCACAACGCCTACACAGTAGGCTACAGGAGCACCTCAACATTATCTTTGGTGACCAGCTGCTTTCGGAGATTGAGACTTTATTAAACTCTCTATTAAACCTCTATTAAACTAAAACTGATTTTCTACTGTTTGAGAAAATTCATACACTTAATGTCTACAGAGTCACCAAGAAAGAATACCCACAGTCATCATATATATTAAAATTGTAAGCATAGGGCACACTGAAAAACCTTTGGGGAACTTTAAACTGTACTCTGAGAATGAGAGCAAGCTTGTACGTGAGAAGTGACGGACAGAGACCATCGTTACATTCAGTATTCCGACACTGGTTTTTGATGTTCTTGAAGCTATTGAAATAAGGCATCTAAATAAAAACAGTACCAGTGATACTTCATTTAAGTTTATTTCGGGAGCACAAAGATCAGATTATGCCATATGACACATACAATATTGAAACTACATGGACTACTCGAGGGAGAACTGACAATGACATAGGAACAGAAATGCCTCTTATTATAAATTGTGCAATTCAAAATCACATGGTTCACAAGAAATCACCTAAAGTAGGGCTCTCTGATTCTTTATATACCAGGATATAGATGGGTCTAATTTACTGCCTATGATAATCTACATCTTAAGTGACCACAATTTTGTATACTAGTCCAATCCCAGTACTCTAATGTTGGTCACTTCAACATAAACAAAAACTGTAACTGTTAAGTGTCTTATCACTGACTGAGATTTTGAGACTTACTTTCTTTAAATGTGTACTGAATAACACCAATATTTAACATAACCACTTTTTAAGTACTACATAATAAGCTACTTTTTCAACATGCTTTAAGAAAGGGAAACTTAATAATCTGATATTATTTATTAGACACTAAATCTTCTTTATCTAGGAATTAAAAGAATCAAAGAACAAAATGAGAAAAGAACTTTTTTGAGACTACATTTAATCACCTGATTAAATGTCTTGAAGTTTGTTCCCATAGAATCCAGTACTATTGTCAATATTCAGCTACCTTACCCACTAAATTATGTGCCATGGAGTTTCTTATATACAGAGAAGTGTCATTTGTGTGGATATTATATCTAGCCATTTACAGCTTAAGAATTTTAATTTCGGCATTAAAACTGAGAAAGGGAATGAACGCAAAACTTCAGAAAATACCTGTAATTAACAGACATCAGTCGAAACAGCTACAAAAGAGAAAAGATAGGTATTCTACTCCTTATGTTATGTAACTTAAAATCATGAAAAATTCTATTCATTTAGGAGAAAAAATTCTGGCTGGGATCTCATTCAGAAGTCCCAATTCTTGGATATGGTGGTTCTACCGCAAAGTCATCATACTCTAGCTGTGTAAAAAAAAGTAGCCTCTGGGCATCAGGCTACTTTTAGAATAAAAAGGTAAAAATGCTGCTACTATCAGCAAAAACTATAATCACTTTTTCAAAAATCTACCCAATGTATTGTTCACATATGCCAATTCTGATTAGAAACTGGTTCTTGGAAATATTGTTACTAACTCAGTAAGTCTGTCTCATTCCTTTCTTACTGAGCTACTTCATGTTGATTCTACTGTATTTAGCACTGTATTTTCTGTTTTCTGGGGTTCATTTCTCTAAGTCTAAACTTACAAAAGTAAATACAGAGATTAACTGATACTATCTCTGCTTGTCCCACTTACAGCTTCCACAGCTCAACAAAGAGATGAGGGAAGTATAAGAACTATTGAATTGAAATAAATAACAAAATAAGAAAACCTTCCCCCTCAAAATATTTGACTTTTTGTCAATTCATTAGTTTCAAATACAGCTGTCAGTCATTTCTTACAACAGCTGTCAGTCATTTCTTACACTTTCAAGGTTGTCATCGAGTGTTAAAATCAAAATAAAGAAATTACTGAGTTAGTTATTTGCCTAATGCTTATTTTGCCTAACAAAACTGAAGGACATAAAAGCCAAAGGAATTTCAAAACCACTGCCTAAAAAACTTATATAAAATGGACCCTCCCTGGTGGTGCAACATGTTAAAGCACAGCTCTATGAAGGTAGCCGGCAGTCACCTCAGACCCAAGTTCGATCCCTGGCCAGGGAACTGACCCTCAGGGCACAGCAAACCTCTCCTGTCTCGCCTCAGCAATGTACTTTTCTCATTCTGCCTGTTCTGCTCCCTGCTCTGTCTCTGGTGGATTCTCTTACCACCCCTGCACCTCTGGCTTGTACCCTAGTTCTGTATGCATAAACAAATCTTTAAAAAAAAAAAAAACTTACACAAAATTAAAGTATAATTTGATGTTAGCTGTAATTATTTCTTCAAATTAATTATATTTTACATCTCTATGCAAACCTATTTTCTTTTTGGGTCAAAGTCTTCATACATTTAAAGATTGTCCTCTAAAGAGTAACCTTTGTTAAAAAAAAAAAAAAAAAAAAGGCTGGTAGGAGTAACTACCACAACTGGAACTCAGCCTGGGCGCCAAGTGGCTTTGGCCAGTCCCCAAGCCCATTCTAAGGGAATGATGCTCTGCTACTTCATGGGGACCTGCACATTCTGGCCAGCTTTACTGAATGGTTCCAAGGCCTCCATGTGCTTCTGGGCCTGGCACACTTCTGCTATGGCCAGACATCCTGCTTAGAACTCACAGTGGAGGCTGCTCTGAGCCTCTGGCACCTGGCCTAACTCCAAAGGCTTATCTTTAACTTGATAACCTCTTATCACACCAAAGTACACATATTATTTTTATGAAACAAAAACACACCTAAACTACGCTGGAGGTTTATGTATCACAATGATTATTTAAGTGTAATCCAGAGGTTAGTTTTTAAAAATGTTAATAACATTAATACCTTACTTTTCTTTCAAATATAAATTTATTTATGTTTCAGTCCTACTCAAAAGTATTCTCACACTCTCTAATACTCAGTAAGTTATTTCAGTAAGAAAAAGAAGGTAGAAAGGCAATGAAATGATCTGCAGATCAAAAGTTTGAAAATCCATGATTAGAGTACAACATGCCCCCCAATGTTAGAAGAAAATGACATAAATCAAAATAAGTTAGACCATAATGTAGAAGATTTTTAAAAAGTGTTGAATACTAGCTACATACACAATTGGAATTTTAGGATCTTTAATATTAATTCTCTCCTTGGAGTATTTCAAACTCAAGATTCCAAGTTGCTGAGAGGCAGATAGTGGGCCTGGATACCAGCCTGACTACTGGTCAGTGTGGCCTCCAAGAAGTGGCTATGGTGAAGGCTGGTTAGTGTTACCTGGGGCCAGGTACTGTGACAATCTTCTAGGGTCTATATTTTTTATACGTAATTCAGAAAATCTCCCTTAGGCCCTTGTCATTCTTCTGTAAATCCAGAACAGATATAGCCAACTCCTCATAAAAATTCATTACATAATTTACGAGATACCAAGTCAAGGCCTAGAAATTTCTTAGCTAGCTAGCTAGCTAGCTTTAGCCACTCTTATTCTTTGAAGCTTTAATGTAAAACTCATCTTTTAATGCTCTGGTTACTTGTGTTATTTTTAACAGTATTCACCTTTGCTCCTTGTATTTTAAATACATATGGTAACTTAAAACTGAAAGGAAAGATTACTACCACTACTAGTATTTTTAAAGACTATAATTATAGAAAACCCTACAACTCCAAACCAACTTTTCACTCCTCCATTTAATCATCACAGTTCACTTACTTGATAAGGTTCTGGAAAGCATAACCGTCTGTCCACTGTTCAGTAAAAGAGGCCCCATGCCGGACAGTGGTGAAGTGGCCCAATCGCAAGCGGTCTTGCATGCTCTTATCTCTGCATGCCATCTTCTCTTGTTTTGACTTAGGGGAAAAGGACAAAAGAAAATAATTTTATTTTCCTATGAGAACTCAGGGACAGCATCATAGCTATTTTTTTGTACTATACCACTTAATATAGTACATGTAGCTGAATCTACATCAACTTCATGAAGTACCTTATACTTTAAATTCTGTGTATTTAACAATAGCTTAATATTTCTTTTAATAAAGTAGAAAAATATGATTTCCTTTCTGTAAATTCAATGAATTAAAAGATGAAGCATGTTCTCAGTATCTTTGATAGCAATAAAATGATCTACCTCACTTTTACCACTGTTATGTCTTCTTAACAGTACTTCAGATATATTAACAAAAGTAACCACTCGTCAGTCCAAAACCTCTAGCTTGTAGGTAATTTCATTGGGAATACTGTCATCTTAAAACTTTGAATATAAAATAAATGAGCACTGGAGACATAATAAAAATAAATTTTTAAGAAATAGTTACTAATAACTTTTAAAGGCAAGTTGCAATTAATCGCTATAAAAGACATAAGCAAATTACTCACTATAAAAGATACAAGCAAATTAATCATATACAAGTATGTTCCAACTTTATCTTTTATAAGCACAAAGAACTTAATGATCACATTATTCTATATGGAAATTATCTAGAATGCCATCTCTGAAACAGATATGTAACTATTGCAAAAATCCTTGTAACAGTGATAGCATACACACTTCAACTAACAGGAATTTAAAGAATTTAGACGAGCGACATCCCAAGTAAACTCAAATGGGACAAGTTCTTCCTGTTTAGTCAACATCACATTCAAAGCAACACACACTCAGAAAATACACCCCATATTATCACTTTGGATTCCATGTCCCATGTCCATGCAACAAAGAATGCTAAACTGTCAAATAAGGAAATCTTTTTCTAAAAAGTCCTACCGTGCAGTTATTGCATTTCAAGCAAGGAGTAAGAAGTCACAAAATCAAGACACACACTGAGCACCTTGGGACACAAGCCCATGTCGCCATTAGCCTTACCTTTTCTATAAGAAGTTTCTTGCTCATTGTCACACAACGATTTAATCGTTCTTTGTATTTCTCTAGCATCTTCTGCTGTTCATCAATCTGCCTTCTCAAATCACAGTTGGCCTTTAATAAAGACAATTTTTTAATTAGCTCAAGGAAGGTATATTTATATAAAAGCTGATTTTATGAAATAAAAATTCATTTGTTGTTAAATCAAAAGTAAAATTAAGGATCAAAGAGCTAAAACTAACTTACCTCAAGAGGTAAGTGTTACTTTGTCTTTTTTCAAAAAGGTTAAGTCATTACTTTATTCTTTCGTAACATCTATTTATTAATGGTGACATTACTTTATTCTTTCGTAACATCTATTTATTAATGGTGAATTCTGTTAATAGAAGTGGTTATCTTTTTCTACCAATTATATTTATGCATCCCAAGCTAAATCTAGTACATTACATATACCTAAGTTGTCACAAAGTTTAAGAGAAAAAATAATGCCATCAATGAGGTTTTTAAAAACATCCAAAGGGTGACAAAGCACTTACAGATTAGTTTACAAAGGTTAATTAAGCACTTACAGAGTGATTAAAGAATTTTCTTTAAAACCACATAATGTTCTTTATTTTCAATTTTCATTTTTCTATTCTTATTTCCAAAGAAAAAGAAACAGGAAATTACATAAGCATTTCCTACCAAAGAAGCCAAACACACCCTTGACAGCATAAGACAGATCTACTAAACAAGCTGAATTCAAGGTCCTGGTTCAAGAAGGCCAGAATGTATAAACATCTTTGTTAAGTTAGCTGTGGTCAGAAAACTCAAGATTCCTACAACAGAAGAGCCACTGGCCAATGTCCATTTTGACTTCTAAGTCCTGACTTTATTCTTGTGGTAAACAAAGAACTCTACTCATTTGACAAACAAATGCTACTTGATAATAACTTAAAAAAAATTCTAAAAATATGGTTATCTCCTAATTAAATGCTAAAAGTGTTTCTGAAACAGTAAAAAGCACAGATGGAAGATCTTACGGCCCACTCATAATCCACGTGCCACAGCTTCCACCTCCAAATGTCCCTATTAGTTTTCTTAGAGTTCTGCAGACCTCATTGGCAAAGGCTAAGTGCATGAGGGTAAACTTGAAAATCTAATTCAAGTTTAATGGATAATCTGTAAGCCAATAACTAAGGCTTATGTGAAATTCCATTTTTATAAGGTGAACATGCCTTGAAATCAGTAACCAAATGTACGGAATCAATCTCTGGAAGCTTATTTAATATTTTAAGAAGACTAAATTTTTGTGGTATGCCAAAACTATCTTTTTTACTCATATTTAAAATATCACCTGGATAGCAGCTCCTCACACTGCCTTACCTGTCCACCTCACTAAAATGGAAAAACTCAATGAATAACCCATAGTGAAGACCGATGGTTTTCTCACATGTCCTTCCAGATCAAAAACACAAATTTTAAATAATTTGAAAAAATAAAGTCACCCTTCTGTTTCTTGCATTTTGACAGTTCCATTCCTTTTGTACCTCTCCACATCCCAAAATAAAGTACAATCTTAGGAAAAACTACAACTGTCAGAGGGTAGTAAATGGAGCACACCATTCCCTAAGCAAATGAAAACAGGCTTAGTTTAAAAAAAAAACTAGAAAGAAAATTTAGAAAGAAATCTAAATTAGGATTCAAATTTTTCATATACATAGTCACTTTATCCTTCAAGAGCAATGAGAAAAATGAGCTGATCCTTTTTCAGTTCCAGATGTATCCTGGACAAACCCCTGACAGTGCTAGAATTGGTCTAGGAGCTTTTTAAACCCACAATTTATCTAATTGTGAATCTTGAAAATTCAATCAACACCCAAGTTATCAAAAAAGCAAGTATATATGCGCTAAGAATGAAAGATGTAAGGCAAGTTCCGAGCATAAGCATGTTCTCCCCATTCAAAGATGGAGAAAAAAAAAAGTAACACATGAGGGAAATATTTCTGACTAAGAGAAGAGAGCATTAATATGAAAACGCAAATAATCTCCCCACAGAAATCAAATGAACATTTCAGAATGCTGATATTGTACACCATAGAGTGCAAAGACATGGTATCTATGAAATAAGAGGGAATACCCATAAATAATATATAGGAATGAATAAAAAAAATGAATTAGGTTAAAGGAGAAAAATTAAGCAAATTAAGTAAAACATCAGTAAAAGAATAAAAATTCACATGAGCTGTAGTAAATAACAGAAAAGATGTGAAAGACAAAAATTAACATTTAATGAGATTCAGAAGAATGTTAAAATCATTAAAGGAAACAAAATAACAGAAGAATAGCAACCAGGAATTCACACTAGAAACCAAGGGAGAAGCCAGTAGAAAATGGAAAATCACAGTATTTAAGTATGACCACACATTTTCAGAACAAGTATAAAGGGAGCAATATATAGATGTACACTGGAAAAATTTCACATATAATAAAGGAGGGACGGGGAAGGGGGTGAGGCAAGGAAGCCTATGGTTATCATGGAAAAGATACGTGTTCCAATGATCACAGTCCTCTAAGAAACATTAAATGCTAGAAAATGTAAAAGGGGTATGTATATGTGGTGTTATTAGGGAGATGAGAGAAATCAACATGACACAATTATCAGTTTGTTTTATTTTTATTGAAGTAATGTTAGTTTACAAGGTTGTATGTTGTATATAGGGGTATAAATTCACACATTCTCCAAAATATGCCTCCACACAACGCCCACCACTAAAGCACTAATAATCAAATGGGTCCTCACCCAACTTTGCTCATCTCCCTCCTCCCTCTCTGGTAGCCTCATTTCTGCAGTCAGATTTCAAGGTTTGTTTGATTTCGTTTTGTCTGCTCCTTGCTTTCTTTATATGCCACATAAGTGAAATCATGTTATTTATCTTTCTGCTTCTGACTTATTTTATTTAGCGTAATCCTCCCTAGTCCAATCCATGTTGACAGGATTCCATCTCTTTTTACAGTAAGTGGTATTCCATGTGTATACATACACACACACATACATATACACACACGCCCCACTCAAGCCTCTTACCTGTTATTGGACACTCAGGTCGTTTCCTTAGTTTGGCTATTACTAATAGTGCTGCATATATAGGTTTTGTATTTTTCTGGTAGATAACCAGAAGTAGGGTAACTGGACAAATGGAATTTCTATTTATAGTTTTTTAAAGACTCTCCACCCTGCTTTCCATGATGGCTGAACCAATTTACATTCACACCAACAGAGCATGTACACAGTTCCCTTCTCTCCACACCCTCTCCAACTCGTTTCTTGTCTTTTGGGTATTAGCTATTCTCACAGCAGTCAGGCGATATTTCATTGTCGCTTGGGTCTGCATTTCCCTACTAAGAAGAAATGAGGGGCATCTCTTTATGTGCCTGTTGGTCAAATGTACAACATCTTTAAAGAAGCATCTATTTAGATTCTCTGCCCATTTTTTAACCAGGTCATTTTTGCAAACTTTTTTTTTTTTTTTAAGATTTATTTATATAGAACTGGGGTACAAGCCAGAGGTACAGGGTGGTGACAGGCTTCACCAGAGACAGAGTGGGGAGCACAACAGGCAGATCGACGAAGTACACTGCTGAGGAGAGCAGCAGGTGGGTTGGGAGAGGTCTGCCACGCCATGTGGATCACCTCTGGAGCCAGGGATCAAACTCACACTGAAGCAGCTGCGGCTAACTTGCAGTGCTGCGTCCTAACCCGTTGCTCCAACAGGGATGGCCCATTTTTGCAAATATTTTAACAGGGTTTGTTTTTTTTTTTTTTTTAAAGATTTATTTATTTATTCATACAGAACTGGGGTACAGGCCAGAGTTGCAGGGGCAGTGAGAGGATTCACCAGAGACAGAGTGGGGAGCAGAACAGGCAGATCGACGAAGTACACTGCTGAGGGGAGCAGTGGGCGGGTCAGGAGAGGTCTGCCGCGCCATGTGGTCACCTCCGGGGCAGGCGGGAATCGAACTCATGCAGAAGTGGCTTTAGCTTCTCAGTGCAGTGCTTTAACCCGCTGCGCCACCAGGGAGGGCCAACAGGGTTTGTTTTTATTGAAGTTTATGAGCCTTTTCTAGATTCAGGACTTTCACTTCTTGTTGGACAGATTATGAACAAATTATCTCTAGCCCCTGATAACATTCCCATTCAGTAGTTCTTTTCACTTTAATGATAGTTTATTTCATTGTGCAAAGGCTTTTCTGTTTGATATAATCCCATGTGCTTCTTGCTGCTTTTACTTCCCTGGCTGTTGTGGTCAAGTTCCCAAAACATCCCTGAAGTCAATGTCACTGAGTTTCTGACCTATGTTCTTCAGTATTTTTATAGCTTCACATCTTTCAGATCCATTTTAAATTAACTTTTGTGATGGTGTGAGACAGTAGTCTAGTTTCATTCTTTTCATAAGGCTATATCCAATTTCTACCACAGCATGTGCTACAGATATTTTCTTCTCTCCATTGTATGCTCTTGGCTCATTTGTCATAAATTAATTGTCCATGTAAGTTTGGGCTCATTTCTTGAGCTCTTAATGCTATTCCATTAATATGTGTGTCTATTTTTATTCCAACACCACACTGTTTTGATCACTGTAGCTTTGTACTACAGTTTGCTTTGGCCATTCAGGGTCTTTTATGATTGCAAAGAAATGTCACTAATGTCTATTCAATTTCCTTGAAGAATGCACTGAGGTTTTGACAGGAATTGCATTGAGTCTGTAAACTGCTTTGAGTAAGAAGCCCATTATGTTAACTCTTCCAATCCTGAGCATGAACTATATTTACATTTTATCATGTCTTCTATTTCTTTTAACAGTTTTTCACTATGCAGTTTCTTTACTTCCTTTGTTAAAGCTTATTCCTAGGTATTTCTTTTTAATATGATTATAAATGGGACTTTTCTCTTATGTCTTTCTCTTCCAATGTGTTACCTGTGTACAGGACCACAACAGATCTTTGTATATTGGCTTTGCAGCCTACTTTCTCATTGTACCAGTTTATTGTTTCTAACAACTTTTTAATAATGTCTTTAGGTTTTTTAATAATACTATCATGCTGTCTGCAAACAATGGTAGTTTTACTTTTGCCTTCCCAGTTTAGATTCCTTTTATATCCTTCTCTTGTCCAAGTGCTCTAACTAGGATGTCCAATTCCATGTTAGATTAGCCTTTGTTATTGAGGCCTGTTCCTTCTATCCCCATTTTACTGGAAGTTCTTATCATAACTAGATGTTGAATTTTATCAAATACTTTGTACCTATTGATATGATCTTATTACTTTTATCTTTTCTTTTGTTGATGTGGTAAATTACATTAATTGATTTGCATATGATTAACCACTCTTTTATCCCTGGAATAAATTCCACTTGACACAAAAATCTTCACATACACAGTGCTATCTTTTATATGAGAAAGATTTCTCAAGCTCTCCAAAGGCTTAGAAAATTTAACAAGATCTTTATTTCTTAAAAAATAATGACTTACAGGCCTTCCTGGTGGCACAGAGGTTAAAGTCTCAGCATTATCAAGCTATTAACAGCCATTGCAGCATGAGCTGGATCCCTGGGCAAAGAACTAACCCGTATGACATAGGTCAGACCTCTCCTGTCTCACATACTGCTCCCCTCAGCAGTGTATTTCAATAGATCTGACTTTTCTGCTCTCCGCTCTGACTCTGGTGAATCCTCTCACCCCACTCCCCCCGAACCTCTGGCCTATGCCACAGTTTTTAGATACATAAATAAATGAAAATAACTTTTAAAAAAAGAGAGAACAGATCACTGAGGTAGAAAAAGGCACAAAATGATGTAAAAAATAAACTATTATTTAAAAAAAAAGACCAGCCATGTAAAACTGTATATCCAAAATATATATTTAAAATATCATGATATAGGTACCAGAGCAGGTGCCGGCTGCCCCCTAAGCGCTCTCCAGCACTCCTGGAAAGTAGGTTGTGAGGCACTGCCAGCACTCCTGGAAAGTAGGTTGTGACCAGGCCAGTGCAAGGGGCAATTACAATTACAGTCCTAAGCCAGAAGAGCACGTGAAAAGCTGCTCCTCTAGAAGGTATGAAATGTCAGATCATAATTGCTGGTGGCCACCCATGCAGCATGTGATGAGAACCTACAGGGGAACAAAGCTCATACAAGAGATAGAGTGACAATGAAAATACAAGCTCAAAGACAGCCTATGCGCCCTGGCTCCAAGAGTGCCCGAAGTCAGCTCACTCTCCTCCATTACACTGAGTCCGTAAATCCCTCTTTTGCTAGAGAAGAAGTAAAAGATCAAATATACCATGGTGTATTTTATATAGATATTTTAAACCCCTAATTAGTTTTATTAAAAGTTCTCTTATAAAAACAAAAGTTCTCTTATAAGCTTAAAAAACTTGATACTAATAGGTTATCTTAGAAAAATACAAAATATAAAACCAGAACTGAAGTACACATGAAATAGTTTTTAAAATTCAAAAACATTAAAATAACTTCTCTGGGATGGGAAAACAACACTCTTATGTTTATTACCACAGTTTCAGATTAAAATTCTGTAAGATTTCCAGCTTATAGATAACATGGAGAAAATACTGATCCAGGTTCCTAATCAGAATTTCTCAGATTAAATGAAACTATCCAAACATCTTTTATGGCTATAATAAAAGATGTAACACACATAATCCAGTTATACCTAACATCAGTCAGTGCTTGTTATCAAACTTCTTACCACGTTTTAATACTTACTCTTAACAAATCATCTATTCTTCCCTCTTTCTTCTCTAAGTCAGAATTCTTACTGTTTTCTAGTGCAGAGATTTTTTCTATTGTGAGGTCGGACTACCAAAACAAAGACAAAACAAATTTATGATTAATCTCAAAAAATGTCATCACATTTTTATCATTTTTCTAAGGAAAAATAAGTCAACTACTGGCACACATCAATTAGATGTCCCTAGAAATTATATGTGCTTTTCTCTTCCCATTCTTTAAGTCATATTCTGATATATCTGCACATTTCAAAAACATGTTTACTCTGGAATCAAATATATGAATTCTCAAAATACTGTACACTGAACAATACAGAAACATAACGCTCCAAAATGAACTAGCTTTGAATAGAAAAGGACTTCAGAGAGGCCATTGCTGGAATGTCTGAAGAACAAACATGCCACCTAGTGGAAACAAAAAGTAAGCAAAAGGGAAGAAAGGTGAAGTTACCTAAATGCTCATCTACCAAATTGGTAATTCAAATAAAACTAAAATTTGCTCCTGAAGGTCAGATAGTTCTTCAAATTTAACAAAGCATCCTATCTTGAAAGCAACCCTTACCAAGAGGTTTCAAGGAAAGTCAGCATATTATTTATTAGCCTACAATGGAACTTGTATCCACTATCTTTTCCGGATATTATTTTTAAATGTTCACAACAGTCCCTAAATTAGAGCTTCTGAAGACTTGTTTAAGGAAGAAATAATACTGGTGTGCCACATTATAAAAAAAAGTTTGGCTATATCTTGCCCAATTAAGCAAGTACAAGGAATAAGTTAACCACTTTCATAAAGTAGGGAATTAGCATTCATGAAACCTACAGACCATCCTAGTAAGAAATTTCTATACACTATCTATCTGAGGTGATCAGAATCAACCACATTTTACAACTCATCTGCAGTCAAGAAAATGAAGACTCAAAAAGATAAATGTACTTTGGAGCCAGAATTTGAAATGCACACCTAGAGGTCATCAAGAACAAGTGTTCTTTCCTCAGCACCCTCCTACAGTAGAAGCATTTCTGCTGCAATATACCAGGTAGGTATATTTAACATGGAAAAGGTTAAAAACCCTTACAAAAGATCTTAAATACACACAATCCAAGTTCTGAACATAACAGACATAAGTAATGAGGTAAAGGCAGAGAAGTGAAGAAAACACTGAAGGGGGCTCCGATTTCTACATGGGGTTATTAACATTAACTCCTCCTCTGTTTATTACCTACTCACCTGGGTCTGTCTGTGCTGGATGGAGATCTGTTTTTGGGAGCTGCAGGAATGCTCTGTGTTGCCAGATCCTGTAGAAGAGGGACTGTTTTGCTGAGCCTATAATAAAGGTACGTCATCAATCACAAGGAAATTTTGCATCTTTCCCCGTATATTTGTTTGACTGTAAATGACTGACTATGTAAGACAAATCAATTCTGATTAAAGGCAGAAGTCAGGGCCATGTAGCCAAGATGAAACGAAACAAGGGCTTGACATGGTGGCTTGGATAATGTTCCTATAAAAAGCTTAAGTATTAGGGCCCTCCCGGGTGGCGCAGCGGGTTAAAGCACTGCACTACGAAGCTTAAGCCACTTCCTCATGAGTTTGATTCCCGCCTGCCCCGGAGGAGTCCACATGGCGTGGCAGACCTCTCCTGACCCGCCCGCTGCTCCCCTCAGCAGTGTACTTCGTCAATCTGCCTGTTCTGTTCCCCATTCTGTCTCTGGTGAATCCTCTCACCCTCCGCATCTCTAGCCTGTACCCCAGTTCTATATGAATAAATAAATCTTTAAAAAAATAATAATAAAAAAAACATTTAAAAAAAAAAGCTTGAGTATTAACTGTTCAAAAATAAATTCTTTAAATATGTAAATTGGAGAAAGTTAAAAGTTATTCCTATGATAACAAGCCTTTCACACTCTATTTTAATATACTTTTGTGAGGAAAGGGTGGGAGAGCATATGAAGTGCAGTGGATGTTCAAGGTTCCAGCATAAGGACTATAATCTAATGTTCAAAGTAGTCTCCTAAATCCACAAATATTACACATGAACATACCCAAAAATCTAAACTCTCTTCCAGTATTCATAGTTATTTGCTGACTATGACCATTAACATAAAGTTGACAGCACATTCTAAAACAGTCTAAGATATTTAATGTAAGTTCGACTAGTCAGAAATATATAATCACTTTACTCCCAAAAGTCCTTATAAAAACAAGACTATAGCTAATAATCCATCACAGATACCATTAGAAAATGTTGAATATTCCTAGAATTATGAGCTAACAGAAACAGCTACTTTGCAGGAGAGGATACACTGTTCTTACACGGGAACTGTTTTCTGAAATACTTCTATATATATGCAGGGGCATTTTAAAAATGAAATTCATGATAGCGCTGAGAAACAAGAGAGAGTCAAGAATCAGAATATTTTCTAAAACCTTATATTAAGAAACATTAAAGGGTTCTCCCTGGTGGTACACTGGGTTAAAGCACTGCATTATGAAGCTCTCCAAGGTCACCGCAGCACGAGCTCGATTCCAGGAAGGTGACCCACATTGGCATGGCAGACCTTTTCTGACCCAACAGCTACTCCCCTCAGCAGTGTACTTTGTCAGCCTGCCTGTTCTGCTCCCCACTCTGTGTCTGGTGAATCCTCTCACCCACCACATCTCTGGCCGATACCCCAGTTCTGTAAGCATAAATAAATTTAATTAAAAAAAAAAAAAAGGGCCCTCCCTGGTGGCGCAGTGGGTTAAAGCACTGCACTAAGAAGCTTAAGCCAATTCCACATGAGTTCGATTCCCGCCTGCCCCGGAAGAGACCACATGGCGTGGCAGACCTCTCCTGACCCGCCCGCTGCTCCCCTCAGCAGTGTACTTCGTTGGCCTGCCTGTTCTGTTCCCCACTCTGTCTCTGGTGAAGCCTCTCACCCTCCGCATCTCTGGCCTGTACCCCAGTTCTGTATGCATAAATAAATAAATCTTTAAAAAAAAAAAAGCACTTAGGATCAGGTTGTAAAGGTTGTAAAGGAAAGTGAAATAAATTGCAAAGCTCAAAAGCTTGAATCACTTTTTTTTTTTAACTTGAATAATTGCATAGCAGTAAAACTGGTTAGGACTTCTGAAGATAGCTCCTGCAAAGCTCCCTATGAGAGCTGCTCACCTCAGCAGTGTATTTCAATAAGTCTTCTAGTTCCACTCCTGACTCTGTCTCTGGTGAATCCTCTCACCCCCACCATACCCACTCTGGCCCACACCCCAGTTCTTGTATGCATAAATAAGTAAAAATTAAAATCTTTTTTAAAAATTAAGATCATTTCTGAAAAACATATAGCTAACATAATACTATCAAAGATCATATGTTTTTTCCTCTGAAATCAGGAAGACAAGAATGTCCACTTGAATCACCTTTTTTTTTTTTAACTTGAATAATTTCTATTCAACATTGTTCTAGCTAGAGCAATTAGGTATGAAAATAAAATGAAAGACACCCAGATTTGAAAAAAATTAAGTAAAACTATCTCTATTCAAAGATGACATCATATTACACAAATAACCTAATGATAAAATTAAGTTTTATAAACAGTATCAGAAAGAATATTTAGAAATAATTTTAACAAAAGAAGGGCATTACAAAAACTAAAAGAAGCTAAAGAGATGTAAATAAGTATCTTGTATTCATGGGTGGGGAGACTTAATATGTTTATGAGGAAAATCCTCTCCCAATCTACACATTTAACACAAATGCTATAAATTCCAGCTGGCTTATTTGCAACTAAAACAGAAACTAAAAAGCTGATCCTAAAGTTCATATGGTCATACAAGAGATACAAAAACTAAAATAATCTCAAAAAAAGAGAACAAAATGGGAGGAATCACACATTTCCTGATTTCAAAAAGTTATATAAAGCTACAGTAATTAAGATAGTGTGGTTCCAGCAAAAGAATAAGCATATAAATCAATGAAATAAAATGGAAATAAAGCCCCTCCTTTACACTCAATTAATTTTTGACAAGCATGCCAAGATAATTTGACAGAAGAATCTTCTCAAACAAATGGTGTGGGACAACTGGGTAGTCACATGCAAAAGAAAGAAACTGATTTCTTTTCCTCATACCATATGCAAATGTATTATAGAGCAAAGGATCAAAGCTAAAAGTAAAAAACACTTAGAAGAAAATATAGCAGTAGGTTTTCATGTCCTTAGGTTAAATCTTTCCTAACTATGATACCAAAAGTGTAAGTAATGTAAGAAAAATTAAGTATGAGTTTTCCAAAATGTAACCTTTTGTGCTTCAAAGGTTACCTTCAAGATCAACAATCCATAGGAGAAAACATCTGTGTCATTCATATATTTGAAAAGTCTAATGTCCAAAACTACATAGAATCCTCATAACTCAACAACAAAAAGACAAATTTTAAAATGGGCAAAGGGTGTTTACAGACATTTCTCCAAAGATATACAAATGGACATAAACATATTTTTTTAAGTTCAATATTATTAGTGATTCAGGAAATACAAATCATTTTCAATGACCACAATGAGATTTCACTTCACACCCACTATGATGACTATAATCAAAATGACAATAATAATGTTACTGAGAAGTGGAGAAAAGACTCTTAGGTTGCTGCCTATTCTCAACAAGATGGTGCTTTGCAAAAACAACTTGGCAGGTCTCAAGGAATTAACCATATGACCAGCAATTCCATTCTTCATTTTTTAAAAAAAAAGATTTAGCTATTTATGCATACAGAATTGGGGTACAACCCAGAGGTGCAGGGGTGGTGAGAGGATTCACCAGAGACAGAATGGGGTGCGAAACAGGCAGATCAACAAAGCACACTGCTGAGGGCAACAGCGAGTGGGTCAGGAGCGGTCTGCTATGTGGGTCACCTCCGGGGTGGGGATCAAACTCATGCTGAAGTGGTTTTAACTTCTTAGTGCTGTGCTTGAACCTGCTGCGCCACCAGGGAGGCCCCCACTCTTCATTTTATACCCCAAAACTATACCTACACAAAAACATATAACCCAGAACTAGAAACAGTCCAAAAGGCCATCAAGTGATGGAAGGATAAGACTGACCAAATGAACACCAAAAAGAATACTTATATTTACTGAGAGACCCATGAAAATTCATGAGGCCACAATGGTAATAAGGAAAGTTATCTGATACAACCATTACACATTAACAATTTCATTTTTTTAATCAAAATTGATAATTAAAAGAAGCATTTAACCTGCCTTTCTAGAAGAACAGTATGTTGGTATAGCTAGATAAGAGAGCAATGTTCTATTTTACAAAAAATAGACACTTAAAAGTGTGATATTAATTTGGCTATCTAGAAATGTTACTATCTTTTAGAAAATGCTCGCTATTTTAGAAGCAGGAAATCAAGATTACTGAAATGTACTTTAGAATATTTCGGAATTTGGGCCCTCCCTGGTGGCACAGCAGGTTGAATGAAGCGCAGCACTAAGAAGTGACTGCCCCAGAGGTGATCCACATAGCATGGCACACTTTTCCTGATGTACCCGCTGCTCCCCTCAGCAGGGCACTTTGCCTATCTGCCTGTTCTGCTCCCCACTCTGTCTCTGGTGAATACTCTCACTGCCCCTGCACCGCTGGCCTGTAACCCAGTTCTATATGCACAAATCAATAAATCTTTACCAAAAAAAAAAAAAATCGGAATTTAGGGGGCCTCCCTGGTGGGGTAAGGAGTTAAAGCACAGCACTATGAAGCTATCTACAGTCACGGAAACACAAGTTCGATCCCCGGCCAGGATGCTGACCCACACAATGCAGCAGACCTCTCTTGTCTAGCCCACTACTCCCCTCAGCAGTGTATTTCAGTGGATCTTCCTGTTCTGCCCTCCACTCTGTCTCTGGTGGGTCCCCTCAAAACCCACATCTCTGGCCTGTAGCCCAATTCTTGTATGCATAAATAAATCTTTTTTTAAAAAATTCAGCATTTTTAAAGCAATTACAAAATCAAGCTTTACAAACTAAAAAAACATAGTCTTTAAAGTAGTAGACTTGGTATTTAAAAAAAAAAAAAAGAAAAAGATCCAGTTGACTGGCATGCATACTGAGAGCCTGGTGGCACACTCCAATTTCACCAACTCCAATAGTGCTTTAAATAAATAATGGCTGTAATTTGGAGTTTTTATTTCCAATTATACAAGTAGTTTGGTTGTAAAGAAACATAACTTACATTTTCTTTACTTCTTTGTTAGTCTAAGATTGTATTTTCCTTCCTAGAGTACATTCAGACTTTAAACTAAGCAGTCTCTTTTGGCAACTTGAACCAAGTGGAAAGCGGGAAAAGTGTATTGACTTTAGAAGTAATCAATTCAACTTCACCCAAGACAAGAATCTGCAGAAACTTGGTCCTAGTACTCACTGAAACAAAAGTGAAGCAGAGGCCAGCCCCCCGCTGCGCCAGCTGCTCCGTGTCCAGCCGAGGCTTTGCTAGCATCACTGACATCAGGGTGGGCAGGGCAGACTGCTCCTCCGACACCTCCTTTGCAGCGCTGCCGTCTAAGCCATAGAGGGGCTGTTCTACTCGCCGCTGGAAAACAGTGAGCATGACTTACATGAGAACAGGAATCTGATCACTAACCAAAGCATACAAGAGTGACAGCACAGTGGGGAAATTTAAGAATTTTTTTTTCCCCAAAAAACCTCTGAAAACAAACACGGGGCACATAATACAACACTATCTCTAGATTATAACCTACATATAAACCTGAGTAACTTAAACTCTGTAAAATGACATTTTAATGATTCTAATATTTATATAACTCTGAATGTTTAGGCTGCTTTGTAGAGCTCAACACATCAACTTCATAATTCCCTCAATCCTACAAAAGAAATGGTTTCTAACCTGTAAATAAATGAAGGTTAAGACATTTCTCCAAGACTTCACAGGTAGAGCTTATTCACACTCAGTTATTCTATCTTGCTAAACATAAATGTAAAAATCCAAAATAAATACACATAAAACAACTTCAACAATAGATGAATAGAATATACCACTTATATATGTGGTCTATTCCCCCCCCAAAAAAAAAGGTTCACTATTAGCAAAACTACTGTCATTCCTTACACTGATATTGGGGGTGGGGGAGAGATTAAGAGTCTTCTCTTCTGGTGCTAAAGAGAGTTTGCACATTGTTGGTTAAAAAAAAAAAAAACAGCAGGAAGTACCCATCTCTTTCAAAAAAATCAACAAACACAATTTATGAGCCATACTAGAGAGAATCTCATTAAAGTTAGGAACCAGGCAGTGTTAACATATTAATATCACGATAATTAAACGTATTATACAAGTTTTAATCAATGTGATAAAAGGAAAAAAATACAAGGTATAAACACTGGAAAATATTAAAGATTAAGAAGTGTCATTATTGGATGATATAACTATTCACAAAGGAAACCAAGCAAGTGAACTGAAAAATAAGAGTTCAGTAAAAAGACCAAATATAGGCCCTCCCTGGTGGTGCAACGGGTTAAAGCACCACATTATGAAGCTCTTCGAAGCCACTACACCATGAGTTCAATCTCCCACCAGGGAACTGACCCACATGGTGTGGCAGACCTCTTCTGACCTGCCCACTGCTACCCTCAGCAGTATACTTTGTCAGTCTGCCGGTTCTGCTCCACACCTCTGGCCTGTACCCCAGTTCTATACAGATAAATAAATCTTTAAAAAAAAAAAAAAGACCAAATACAAAGTAAATGTAGAAATCAATACCTTACCCAAATACCAACGGTTATAATCAGTTAAAACATGTAATGGAAGAAAAAGGAGATTCAAAATTTTTTTAAATCTGTGAAATACTTGGAACTTCAGTAGTATGTACATTATAAATAAATAAATAAATGAATGAATAAATGAATGAATGAATGAATGAATGAATGAATGAATGAATGAATGAATGAATAAATAAATAGATAAATAGATAAATAAATAAAACAAACAACTTCCCTGGTGATCTAAATTCCCAGAAGGTGAATACTAGGGTTTTTGCTTTTTTTTTTTTTTTGCAACACCGAGTATGGCATAGTAATCATCTAGCTTGTATTATGCTCTCCTTTGGAGGGGTGGTCTTCAGGAATTTTACTATTCATTGGCAGTTCACATGGAAAGATAATGAAAATTAGCTACTTAATTTTTAATAAAGAATATCAGGAAAACTTAACCCACTATTAAAACTTATTAAAACACTCTAGCCACTGTAACACTGGTACAGGAGCAGAAATCAATCAGTGACATAGAACAGAAAATTCTGAAACATATCCATATATCCATAATATAGAAATATTATTTGTGATTTTCAAATTAGTGAAAACTTACTAAGTTGGTAGGAATTTTTTGTGTTCAAAAAAAAGTAAAAGTAGTATCCTCCTTTATATCATATACATAAATTAAAAAGTGCTTTTATGGCTTTTGGTAGTAAAGGATTTTTTAAAACACTAATAATATACAAACCATGGGACCTTCCTAGTGGTACAGGGGTTAAAGACAGCGACCAGCCACTGTAGAACAAGTTCAATCCCTTGCCAAGGAACTAACCACACATGGCACAGCAGACCTCTCCTGTCCTGCCTGCTGCTCCCCTCGGCAGTGTACTTCATCACTCTTGACTATTCTGCTCCCCACTCTGTCTCTGGTGAATCCTCTCACCCTCTACATCTCTGGCCTACACCCCAATGCTTGTATGCATAAATAAATCTTCTTTTAAAAAAGATAAGAAAATACAAACTATATAGGAATATCTAATAACATAAAAATGAGTAAGTCATGAAGGAAAAAATTGAGAAATTTGTGTACATCAGATGTTTTACTTCTGAATGGTAAAAGTTAATACAAAGTTAAGACAAGATTACAAAGAGGGAAAATTTTACAACTGAAATGACAATGAATTAACAATCATAATAAATAATGTGTTCCTACACACTAGTAAAAGAAACACTCAAATAGGTAGCAGATAGATGTTTGAAGCATTAAAAAGAAATCCAAAGAGTCATTAATCATATGAAAAGATATTTAATATCACAATTCAAGAAAAGCAACTTAAGGTATTTTTCTTCCTAGGAAAGATTATAATGATAAAATCCATTATTTTAAGGATATATAGAAACTGGGACTGTTGATAACCTATTAGTAATTATGTCATGACATTTTAATGTGAGCATATCCTTTGATTTGGAATTTATACTTTGGAACTTAACCAAAGAGAAAAGAGTGCAAAAGTACAGAAGTACATAGAAGAACATTCTATGTACAAATAACATTATTTATTGGTTAAATAAATTAATATTACAGAAATGGAGAAATCTATTATGAGTATAGATACATATGCATATATGCCCATTAAACTTTTTAATAATTCTTTTTCACTTCTGAATTGTTGAACTTTCACAATGAGTATGTACCCCTTTATTTAGAAATACTACTTAACATTTTCATTTTAGGGGGGAAAGGTAAAATAAAGGTAAAACCAAACCCATCCTGGAATGACAAAGGAATTTAGTTCTTTAATCAATTAGGAAGGTACTTTTCAACATCAAAACTCCTATCCCACCAAATACAATGGTTAAAATTCAAGCTGCAGGACACTGTGTTAACCCTTCACAATACTCACTATATGGGAGAATGTGTCTCTGCAACCACATTATAAAATTAATCATTCTGTTTATATTCAATAAATATTTGGCAAAGGTTGAAGGAAAATTTTACAACTGAAATTACAATGAATTAACATTGTCATTATAACTTCTGGATATGCAGAAGTTGTCTGTATAACTTGTGGAAATACAGCAGAATGTGTATTTGTATGAACCTACTTTCCCTCAGAAAAACAACTATAGAGAAAGGACAAATATGAATAACAGATAATGAAAATATCAAACTCAGTAAGATAGTAGGAATCTGCCAGGGCACAGTTTAAGAAGATTAAGACTACAGAACCGCCAAGCCCACATTTACCTGTGGGTACCTGCAGATTGTAATTTCCCATTTCTAGGGCACCACAGTGCCAAGTAGGTAAGTCACAGAACAAACCACCCAGGGCAAGGGATTAAGCTTAATAGGGAACCTTTTCAATTTGAAATTGGGCTTCTAAAAAGCTACAATCTGAGAGAAAATATAAACAAGAAAAATGTCCCCTAATCTTAGGTGGCTGCAAGGATTATATAGGTAGGAAGAAGTTACCTTGACAGTACAGAGGGTAGGGTTCTAATAAAAAGTATTAACAATGCAAATCAGTACTATCGGTGTGGGAGAAACAAGCAAACAAAATAAATAAATCATACAAATAAAATGCAAACCACACATTCAGTTATTTAAATAATGTTGGGTTGGTAAAATTGTGCAGGCACTTGAAAGAAGCAAAAAAATTCTCCCTGGAGGAATGCTTGCTCATATCAATCTCCAGGAAATTTCACAAATCTTTTATTTATTTATTTATTTTCAAGAATGAGCAGCACAGAGTAAAAACAAACCCCAAAATAAAAAAACAAAGCGCTGAGCAATAACTATGAAAATAAAAGATAGCAAAAACAAACTGAAAAAACCTCGAACATCAATTATCATTCACAGATTACAAGATAACTATGCCCACTAAATTTTTATAAAAGAACTGAAATTCATGCATGGAACATAAAATCACAAAAATTTAAAATACAATGTGACTAACAAGAAAACAGATAACAATAAAATAGAATTCTGGAATTGAAAGGGAAGAAATTATCCAATACAGAGACAAAAAGTTAGACAATCAGAAAAAGATGAGTCATGATGATAAAGTGACAGTCTAAGGCATGGTTAATTGGAGTATCATAGGAGGAGGAAAGGAAAACAAGGAAAAGACAATATTTAAGATAATGACTAATAAAGATCCAGAAGTGGTACAAAATAGCAACTCAACAGAAGCCAGAAGCGCAACAAATCACAAACAAGAGAAATAAAAGGATGCATTATAGTAAAACTGCAGTGTTCTATTCTGCACAAAAAGAATAGCATAGATGAAGATTTTAAAAGCAGTGAGTGAAGAAAAATTATGTATTTCCAAAGAAATAACAAGTAAAGTTCAGTAGTAACAATAGTAGCCAGAGGTAACAATATACACAATTGTGTTAATATAATGCCAATCTAGAAACATACAAAGCAAGAATATTTTCAAAAATATGGGTAAAATAATGTAATTTAAGCAAACAAAAACACTGAAGAGTTAAACTCCAACAAATACATACTAAAAGAATATTAAAGGAATACTCAAAGTAAAAGGAATTTGACCCGCTTAAACTGCTATGAAAAGCCGTCAGCTTAGGGAAGTAGGGTGTTGGGGCTTTTCCCCCCCTAATTACAGAATCCAAGTATTTGACCCTTCACAGTTTAGAGATGTGCAAAAGTTGAAAGTAAGTTTTATGTTAACTGTGTTTAGCACTCAAAAATAATGCAATCACTGTTGTATATAATGATTCATGAGTTGATCATTCGTAATAATCGACTAAGGCTTTTATTAAAAACAGAAGAGATTAAATCTTGGGTTAAGTCTGGGGTTA